CCTCCCTCCCTCATCCTTCTCCCCCCCCTGTGCACCATACTTCCTGTAACATTTACCCTACTTCCCCTTTCCCCCCCCCAAATCTTTCCCACTGTCTCTCTTCTATCCTATTGTCCTTGTCTCTCTATCTATCTCTGTTTATCTGTGTCTCTCTGTGTGTTATTAGACTATTATCTTGCTATTGCTACTCTTAGTGCTACTTTTATTTCCCTGTTTCTATACTGTATTGTTCCTTCCTCGTGTTTTTGTGTGGTTATCGGTATACTACTTTACTACTACTACTTCCATTATCGCCTATCGTTCTCCTATTTCCATTGTACCCCTACTACACTTTTTGACCACCTTCCTTCCCTTCTTTTTTTCCGACTACGCAGCTATGCCTTATAATACACGTCGCAAGTCGCTGTCGCTCCCCTCCTTGGGAATTCATCTCCCTAATACATCTCGCCGCTCCCCCTCCGCCACAAAATCGCCTCACGCGACCGATGACCAGCTCCCTCCCTCCAAGAAAGTGAAGCGGTCGCACGACTCGGCATACTCGCTATCTCCCGAGCCTTCCTCGTCTTCCTCTGCGCGCACTCCCGATGGCAAGGAATCCGCCGCTCCTCTACGTCAGAGTGGGCGGCGCGGGCCTTTGGAACATACGCCACCGCCATCCCCCACCGATGGTACTGTCGCGACTAAGATCGACACCGAGGGGATCAATGATGACATTGTGGTTGGTGTGATTGAGCAGTTGGAAAAGACTGGAAACCGTCCTCATTTGGTTAAGGAGTTGGCTGCCGTCCTTATCGCGTTGAACGAGAATGTCGCAAAGTACGTTTCCCTCTTCTGATCTTCCCCCTCTCTATATGTCGCTGGCCATACTAATGGGACATTTTGTCTTTACAGCTCTGCGAACCCTGCAGCTCTTTTGTCTTCTCGGTTAAGTGCCTACATGAAGCGCCCGTGGACCGCCCTCGCGCCCTGTCCTATAGCAAAGGAACTGGTCCCAATCCACCCGCGCAAAGTGTACTACTACCTGACGACATTGCCCCGTCAGCCTCTCCCAGAGAACTCGGACGATGTTATCATTCCTGGGGTAGAGGGCAAGGATATCACTCCCAGCGTCTCCAGCGCCGATCTAGATGAGGAAGACGCGATGGCGCGGGAGCGGTCGCGCCTCAGCCCCAGCCCAGAGGTGGATCTGTCGTCTCCTGACTTCGAGGAAGAGTCCATCGACTTGGACGGTCGCAATGGCCCCGTCGGTGCGTCAAGATCTGGCACCGACTTCAACGACCATCACCACGCGCGTTTGATGCACTCCAACCGTGCTGCCTCCCCGCCATTGGAGGGAGACGAGAAGGAATTCACACAAACTGCTAGCGCCGTGCGCGAGCGGGCCTCGGAGCAAAAAGGAGGCCAGCTTCAGATTCCGGGAGGTGGCTTTTCTGCCCTCTCGGAAGGCCTGAGCGAGTTGCATGATGGAGCGATGAGCATTTCTGATTCCGTCGAGGACAGCCCTCTCTCCTCCATTAGCGGTGATCGCATGTCGGACGACCAGGATGGCGACTACTTCTCGCACAACGCATACCAGCAGCAGTCCCCTCTGCAAGATCATCTCCAGCAGCAGCAGGATTTCGATGACGCTGCTGTGGCCACTCTCTTCGGCACCTCTCCCTCCCCCTCCCTCACATCTGTTGCCTCATCCATCTCGTCTGGCACGAGCGTGGCTTCCGATGACGGGCTGGATGGCGAGACGCAACCCGAGACCGTCGGACGCACCCCTCAGATCAGCCTCCCAGAGGATCTGACCGTCCCCCCGGTATCGGCGCTCAAACGTTCCATCGACATGCTGAACAGTGGGCTTCCTGACCTGGACATGAAGATGTCCGATCTCAATGAGCAGGACGATAAACTGCCTCTGGGAGCCAGTGCCTTTGCCAGCCAGGATGTCGAGATGGTCTTTGATTCGTGGCGAGAGCTGCAGAGTCCCGAGACCGTGGAAGTTGATGAGCTGGACGAGATGTTCGGGGAAATCTGAACGTCGTCGCCGCGGCACTTCTCATCCACCAACCGATAGACTAGAGGCGTTTGGATCGTGTGTTCCTTTTCCGGGTGTCTACAACCAAACAGACTCCTTCCATCTCCACTCCCGCTGTGGCCGGTCTGTTGAGCCGGCTACTCACCTACACCACCTTGATACTCCGTTTGACCTAATCTTGTACAGTTCCTATTTGTTTAATGCCCGTTTCGCATCTTGTTTTGACCGCCATTTTCGGCGAGGCTCTCGCGCCTGCCGCGCCTGTACATATATACTCTTTACCTCTTTTCTTCCCTCCTTCTCTGACCGTCTTGATTTTTTATTATATCCCCTGGCTGGCTGTGATGTATCTGATTGATCGTTTCCTGGGGGTTTGAATTTGCAAGTTCTTCTCAAATGATGGGCATGGAGAGACGGAGCCCGAAGCAGTTGATGATGAAAACGGCCGAAGGAAGAAGAGGACCAGGGAGAAAGAAAAACTGGGATATGCTTGATGTCTGACTATGTATGCTTAGCGCCTGTGGCCTTTGAATCCAAAAATTCCCCGCAAGGGTTAGATCTGACGAGAACCGATGTGATTGTTCATTCTCTGTGCTTTGTAGATGGGAGTAGCTCCTTGATCCTCGTATGCCTCTCGGTATAGTAAGCAGTAGTTAGGTGAACGTCCGCTGTGTCTGATGGACGCACGGCCTCCCGCGCCCTTGGAAATGTGGATGACCGGATCCTTCCTGGAATGTGGGGGAACTGGTGTGACTGGTGTGACTGCAGGAACGAGGCATGCCAATGTAGCAGATCTGGTAGAAAGCGAAACCGCCCGACCTATGAGAAGAGATGTAGCACCATGGCCGAATTCTCCTCCTGTGTGTGTTATAGAAGGAGTCGAGATGCTGGGATGGTGGATACCTCAGGCACTCTCAGGGACTGGGCTGCGATGACGTCACAGAGCACTACTGAGTCAGCTGGGCGGTGGGTGGATTTGGAAGGTTCTGGTTGGTTGGTGGGCAGTGGAAGGGGACAAAGTACTTTGTTGGAATGATCAAGTGGGAGTCGGTCTGGAGTGGTCGGTCGTATCTAGTATCTGCTAGTAGAAAGTCATAGTAGTCTTTATCCCGCCGCACGCCCCTCTTCATCCCGAATTCCCTGGCACTTTTGACTCCAGACTTTCCCCCCCATCTTCGTGCTTCACTGCATTCCTATCCTCCTCAGGGCCCATTGAATACCCCATTTCCTTTATCGATCCACACGCGACCTTATTTCTGCGTCTGGTCTTCTGTCCTTTGATCCCGGTTCAGAAGCCCGGTTCGCACTCCGTTCCCCGCGACATCATGCTTCAAACTTTGACTGGATCTTTTTCATACGTCCGCCTGAAGTATTGACCGGCGTGATTCATCGCCTTCCAAATCGCAAAATACATCCAACCAATTTTTATCCAAGAAATTCTTATCCGGGACCCAGAAAATACCACGTGATCGGCTCTTAAATCTCTCTGCGATTCGACTGGTGTGCTGTGGCGTTGCCCCTCCAGGAACCATCTATCGTTGGAGAAAAAGACCATGGAGACGCCTGGGTTTTCCCAGCCTGGCGAAGGCCTGTCGCAGGGCGATATTCCCCTTCGTCCTCATACAGAGGGTCCGTCCATCGTCGTTCCTACCGCGCATCCGCCGGCTCTCCCGGGCACTTCGTCGCATAACCCTCAGAAACCCAGATTGGCCACCCGTCCCGCGTATGCCGAGAAGAAACAGCTTCTATCCTCCGGGAGCAGCAAAGTCGCTATTCCGCGACAGCGATCGACTGCAGCCCCACGCTATACTAGACGAGTCCCGCTGGCCTGTGAGTCGTGTAGGCAACGGAAGACGAAATGTAGCGGTGACACGCCGGTGTGTCGGCAGTGCAAGGAATTGAGGATAAGCTGTCGGTATCCGGTTTCCTGGCGGGAGCGGACGAAAGGGTATGTTGGTTGTTGTTCTGTTGCCTCGGTACTGAGGGAAGGAAATCGATACTGACGTCCTTAGGGAATTGGACAAACTTGCTGTGAGGGTCACGGACTATGAGAATCTACTGCGAGATCTTGGCCCTATTGTCGATGGTCGGGCTGCCGAGCGTATTAGGACGGTGTTGGAAAAGGTTAGAGATACCCCGATCTTGACGCTCGACGAAACGAATGTCAATGCTAGTCCCGCGGAGTCACTAACCCCCGCCAGCACTCCGATAGCGGTAGCGGCGAAAACACTCAGTCCAGCTCGGTAACACCCCAGGACGAGGACAATGATGATGAGGTGACTTCGCCTTCGTCCATCGGGTCTCTGGATGCGATTGATCGGGTTGAGGAAGATGTGAACCGCACTCCGAGTTCCAGAGCGACTGGTTATATGGGAAAGAATTCCGAAGTCACTTGGATGCAGCGGGTACGCATGGAGGCCGAGCATCGTGCTCGCAAGCTGCCGGGCCCCTATGAGGCAGAGGATGAGGGCGAATTTGCCATTCACTCCGTCAACTATCATCTAGACGACATGGATATCTCCGTACCAGGTCCTGTTCATGTGTACTGGATGCCACCGCGCAAGGTGGCAGATAAGCTCTTCGAAGACTACCTTGATACGGTGCACCCATTCTATCCCATCATCAGCCGGACCCTCTTCCGGGCGCAATACAAGACATTCTTCGAGAGTGCCGCACGACCAGGGGACAAGTGGTTGGCGATTCTGAACTTGATTTTCGCCATTTCCGCCAAGCATGCCCATCTCACGCGGGCCCCGTGGCGCGGTGATGAGAATGACCATTTGGTGTATCTCACACGGGCTCGGATCTTGAGTATGAACGGCGATGTGCTCTTTAGTCACCCTGATCTCCAGCAGGTGCAGGTTGAAGGTCTGATCGCCTACTACCTACTTGCGTCGGATCAGATCAACCGGTAAGCATTTTCAGATAATTATGTAGCCATATGTGTTTGCGCTAACCTGATTCTCGATAGAGCTTGGCGAATCGCTGCCTTGGCCGTTCGTTCTGCAGTCACTCTCGGATTGAACATGAAGAACTCCAGCGAGGGCACAGCCAACATCTCCAAGGAGGCACGTTATAGGGTGTGGTGGTGTTTATACACATTTGAGCACATGCTGGGCATCATGACTGGTCGAGCTACGACCATTACCGACGGTATCTGTACTACGCCGTTCCCTCTCCCTTTTGAAGAAGATCAATTGGTGGAAGCTGCAGCGACCAAGCTCTTGAATGAACCCGAATTGCGTCAAGAGCACATCGATTCAGCACTTGCCTGCATCTCTGTGCGGCAAATGCCATCTAATCCAAAAGGCGGCCGGAACGCTCAGACGACAGATAAACCGCGTGATCCGACATGGCTGAGAAGTGTTCCGCCCTCAAGTGCTCTTGGATTCCTTTACTATGTCGACCTTGCAGTTATTTCGCAGGAAATTGTCAACCGTGTGTACTCGCTGGATTGTGTTTCCATCCCATGGGGCCACATTGAGAACCGCATTGGTGAGCTGCGAGCCCGCACTGACGTGTGGTACGCCAATCTTCATGAGTCTTATGACTTCACTCGACGGGAAGAAGACCAGCCAGCAGCTACCCTGCGGGGCAAGCTCTTCCTCGCCTTCCACTACTACAGCGCACGCATTACGCTAGGACGACCGTGTTTATGTCGTCGGGACGCACGACAGACGGCGTCCAACAAGAAGGAGACATTCAGCCATGAGATGGCGGTGATCACTCTAGAATCTGCCCGACGGATGCTCGACTTGATTCCTGATGTGCCTGACGCTGTCCGTCTCTATGATGTCTGCCCGTGGTGGTGCATTCTGCACTATCTTATGCAGACAACGACTGTGCTGCTGCTGGAGTTATCGTTTGGCAGCATTCATATGCCAGATGAGGAGGCCAACTTCCTACAAGCTGCCAAAAAAGCCATTCGCTGGCTCTTCGCCATGTCCGAGAACAGTCTTGCATCCCGACGCGCATGGGAGTTATGCTATGGCAGCCTCCGGCAGATTGCTGCCGGTATGAGCTACGACATTAGTGACTTGCCCGCGTATGGCTTTGAGACTCAGCCCCAGGCTCAAGCTCAGGGCCAGGCGCTCAACGGTACACAACATGATTACTTGAGCCATCTGGAAGAGACCATGCATGCGGGACCGACTTTCTACAACCCCGCGGCGGCAGATATGAGCAATTCAGCGTCAGCTTCTTCCAGTATGGCTCAGCAACCCAGCATGCTGTTCGCTCAGACCGAACAACCCCTCCAGGGCTTGGCAATGCCAGCTTCTAATCCGTTTCCCACGAATCCGGAGTTGAACTCTGGTTCTGGGGATTCGTACTTTCCGTACGATCCGATCAGTGGGGTATTCATCCGCTCATTCTTCCCTTCGTCTACTGGCGAGGAACCATGGGGTGGAGCGTGAGTGTCCTTGGTTGCTTGCTCGGAGAGCGCAACCTTGCCATTCGTGGTGGTTATTTTGCGCCTCATGATTGTTGTCATTCCCATTCTGTGCGGGCCAGCGATGCTCTATACCTCTTGTCTATTGGGATTGACTCTCAAGTCTTTTTTTTTTTTTTTTTTTTTTTTTTTTTTTTTTTCATTTTCTTCTTTTCTTTATTTTACCATTCTATTTAAAGTATGTTTATATTGCATGTATTTCTATCTACGTCTACGATATCACGCAGGGCTACTGGTGTTTTATAGGGTGTGATGGATAGAATGGGATGATACAGGCTGGAATTGGCTGCTACTGCAACGATACACGAGATGGGATAGAGGTGACCGGAGCTTTAGGGTATATTATGTTTTGTTTTGTATAGGATGATAGTTAATTGTGCACTGAAATACAATGGACCTCATCTTTGCTATCCTATAAATTCCACACCCATTCAGTCGATCTAGACCATGATATGAATATGCAATGCTCTGATTGGCGGGCCGCAGCACGCTGACTCAGCAAGATGAATTTCCCCGGCGAAGCTTTTCTTTTCGGCGGCGAAGAAACACATCCAAAGCTTTCGCTTCCCTCCAACAGCTGCCTCCCCCAGTCGCTGGTTATCGCCAGGCACACGCCTTGTCCGCTCAAATTGAGGAATGCCGACCCGTCTCAACGATTAGACATGCGCCACAGAACGTCCGTCCGACGGTCACATCGAGATTTGGATTTCCTCCGCCCGCAGGTCTCCTCCGCTACCTCCGTCGTGTCATGAAAAGGTGCCTGAGTCCAGCTCGTCTGCCGTGCCTGGACCGCGGGTCTTCCTTCGTCCTCCACCCTTCGATCCTCCGTCGTCTCGCCCCCCGTCACATCGCGCTCACCAGCCGGGGGCCTTTCCCCGATAGGCGACGACAATGGAGTCGCCAGTTCTCCGTTGGGGCCGGTCCTCCGATCAATCGCCAATTGCTGCAAGACTATGTTAGGGTGGGAATGAAGAGATGTCCTGTTGCAGGACCAGATCAGAGTAACCCGGAGGCTTGGATTGCGCGGCTGGACCAGTACCTGCCGCCTTCGTTGCGGAGAGACAGCGACGGTCATACAAACAATGACGATGTTCCGGATGATGCAGCAATTCGGACCGATGCGGCTTATTTTGCGCAGACGATTGAATTGGCTAATTTACTGCTGCATGCGCGGGATTCTGGGAAGATTGATTTGCTTGCGTATGTTGGTTTCCGGTTGAATAATTGGCCCGCTGTGCAGTTCTTGATAAATCGCCTGCTTGATGCGGCGGACTCTCTTAAGGAGGTCACGCTTCCTTCCCGGCCTTTGTCTAGCTATGACTGGGGTCTGGGGCTGGGGCTCTCGCTGGATGAGCTTACGGATAGGTCTGAGCCGCAGGCTCCGAAAATCCCGCAGGCTTCGAACGGGCTGACGGCGTCGGATATGACGAGCTTGGATGCTTTTACAGAGCGGCCGTATGCTGATGACCATTCGAAACGATTTATGGCTGAGGTGTGGCAGAGTTTGGGGTCTATTGTGCTGGATGCGGCTGATGCCTCGCCTAACGAGGCGAAGCTGGCTATGTCTCATGTGTTCCAGGTTCTAGCTCGACTGCACCACTCTGATGCCATCTCCGATAGGGTATACAAGTATGTCCCGCCGGACAGCTACCAAGCTACATTCCGACCTCCGGGTATGCATCTGCTTTCTTCTCATATTATGAGTGTCCTGTCCGACGCCGCGTGGCTGGTTCATGAAGCGGAGGTTGCTGCTAAAGCGGCTGCTGCCGGCGAGGATTCGCCTTATCTTCCATTCAAAATGGGAGTTCGTGAGCTTGGGCCCGAGGTTTGGCTGGAGTTTATCCTCTGGTGCTGTGTGGAACATGGCCACATCGAGGAGGGAGTATGGCTCATTGATCGAATGACAAGCAAGACAGGAGACCAGGCCTGGAAATTCCAGAGCTGGAAGCCCCTACTCGATGACTCCGGGTCGGTCTGGCAGACCAAAGTCGATCAGGAAGAGACTTGGCGACAACCCGGCCACCAGGAACGCTCTACGATGCTGCGAAAGCGGCATAGCCCGACGCCCTTCCACGGACTGGGAAAGCGAACCATGAGCACTGAAGTGGCCGCGGCCTTGCTGGATAGCCTTCCCAACCAGGTATATCTAGGTCTCGGTTTCAGAGGTATGTCGCCGAGCGCCCTCTTACGCTATGCATCCAGTCTCAAGTTCGCAATTGCCCCGTCAACGGACGACGGGAAATTATTGCCTACGCGCAGAACGTCGAACTGGTTCGCTGTGCGAGTTATGGAATCGGGAGGCCTCAAGCCGGAAGCCGACCCCCGGACATTCGAAGACTTCCTCAGGATCACGCCGTGCGTCGTTCCGCCCTGGGACACCGACCTTTACCACGTCAATGAAGATGCTTTGACCCGAATGAGTCGGTCACAGCTGTACGACGACACTGCCGCCTTGGTCGGCCTGATCGAGTACAACATCCGGTTTTACTCGTCGGAGCGCTTCTGCGGTGACGCTCTGAACGCATTCTCCTGGCTGCAAGCCATCGTTGACAGCAGCAAGATGCAGCGCATCGACGAGTTCTTCTCTTCGCGCGTCGACCGACCTGGCGTCGTTCTCCCTACCCCTGAACTTGATGATCTGGACTCCACGGAACCCTTCGAATCATCCATGCCGCAATTGTCCAGCGTCACCTTGGCCGAGCTCATTGATCTAGTCACCGTATCGCGCGCATTCACATTCGGCAACTGGCTCTTCTACTCCGACGATATCGACGGCCCCCCAGTCTCGCCCCGCGCCTACGGCGACCAAGCCCTAGCACCATCCATCATCCGCTACGCCACAGCCACCAGGAACGCCGCCCTCTGCGACGCCGTCGTCCAGTCCCTCTCCCAACCCCTCTCCTCCAACACCCTCCGCGCACTCCTCAACTCCCGCATCGCCCTGCACCAATGGGACGCGGTCACCAAACTCTTCGAATACCTCCGCGACTACCGCGCCAAATCCTGGGGCCAGAGCAACGCCACCGCCCTCGCCGCGGAGATCATCCGTCTCGAGCACACCATCTACCGGCAACAACCACCTCCAGACCCCTCAACCCTACAAGAAACCACCACCTCCCTCACCCGCGCCAAGGAGCTCCTCTCCCGCCTCCTCAAGGGCACCTACAACGAACCCAACCACATCGCCACCTCCCGCTTCCAAGAACGCGCCATCTCCGGCCTCTACAACATCTTCCTCTCTATCCCAGGCACCCTCCACGACCTCGCTGCCTCCATCACCAACTCCTCTAACAGCAACAAATTCTCCACCCCCCGCAACGCCATCCCCTATATCCCGGCAACAGCCTTCCACACCCTCCTCTCCGCCATCGTCGACACCCGCGGCAGTGCCGCCGGCCAACGCTTCTACGACAAATGGTGTCTCGACACGAAGTCCCCGACATCACGCCGTCTCCAAGAAGGTGGCATCGTCCGATTCTATCTCGGCAAGGAACGGAACCTCGCGAAGGGCGATCCGCACTTCGATGCCAGATACTTCAAGCGCGCGAGGGAGAAAGCCACGATGCCGAATCCCACGACTGTGAGGATTATTGCGCAGGCTGCTGTAGCGGAGTTTCATGAACATGAAGCTGAGGGTAAGGGAGCTGTGAACCCGGCTGAAGATGTGTTGAGTTTCTGTATCAAGAGGTTTGAGGCCTTTGGGATGCGGAGACGCGAGATCAATCGCGAGGTTGGAGGGATACTGTATAGGAGACGGAGGGAGGGGGACAAGTTGAGGAGGGAGATGAAGAAGGAGAAGGTGAGGGGGTAGATTTGGGGGTGTGTGAATTGGTAGTCATGGATGTTGTGTGTGTCTGACTGAGCATTTGGGGTTTTTTTTTTCTTTAATACCATCTCCTTTTTTGGGGTTATATGTGTGTATTACTTTGGTTTGGGAAGATACATGGACTGTTTATAGATGAGCGATAATAGATTACTGTATTATATTACTACATCTGCATTCATGTGCATTTCCTACTAGACTACTGTATCATATCATATGATAGTAATATGTACAACAGTTTGATAGAGTTACTTCGGTCATTGCACTACAGATGGATGCGGTTTTTTATAAAGGCTGTGAAAGGCATGGCATGTATGTACACCCACATCTAGCAATTATCAACACTAATGGCGCATTTGAACATCAAAGGTATCATAAACAAGATAAAATCCCACGACCGAACAAGCCAAAATACCCATAACTCACAAGTCCAACCACCAAGCTCCCAATAGCGCCCCAGTAGTAGACAACGATACCAGCAGAATGAACAAAATGTTTATGACACTGCGACTCCAGGGCATATAGACATGCGTCCTTTCTCTGGCCGGTGAGATTCCGGCAAGATAGTATGAAACACGCCTGATTTCTCGGATTTCTCGAACCAAACTCCTTCCCGCAATCATCAATCATAATACTCGAACCGTCATCGTGGCGCAGAATTCACGGAAATATCATTCAAAGCTCCTCCTCTTCCTCTTCAACTCCCATTTCAATGTCCTCATCTGCAAACTGCATGTCACCACCCAATTCCTGCTCGACCTCGTCGACAACAAAGCTCTCGTAGTCTTCCAGACCTTTTTGAATATGGACCTTGAAACGGATGACATCGTTCAGCATGCTCTCCACATTGGTGTGTAGCTCCTCACGCAACGCATTTGCGCGGAGAGTCAATTGTTCATACTCAATGTTAGTATTCATCTCGCGCTGCTCCATCAGTTGGACGCTTTCGCCCAACGTGGCTCGCATCTTGGCCAGCTCCTTCTCCATCTTTTCAATCTGTGCATCCGAAGCAAGCTTCTGCGTTGTGGTGACCTCCTTGAGCCGCTCGAATTCCTCTTCAGCGGCACGTGCCTTATGCTCCAAAGCCTCAACCTCGCTTCGCTTCTCGTCCATTGCTTCCTTGATGTTGTCCAAGAGATTGCGTCGTTCCAAGTCATCATCAATGGCACGCTTCCGGCGCTCGTTGATCTCCTTCCGGAGAGCCTGTAGATTGCTGCGCACGATGCCGCGGAGATCGAGGTTGAGCAAGTGTGCTGGGTGATAGCCAGTGAACGGGTCCGCCAATAGTCGATCTCCATCGGTAGAGATTCGGTTCGCTAGACCACCGACCTGAGAGGCGGAGAAATTGCTCTCGTTGACGTTGAGACTGAGTTCGTAATCGTCGCCCTTGGCATTGACAGCTGACGAAGGAATCAAACTATTCTGGTATCCGAGCGTGTTGTAGACCTTGACGATCTCCTCTAAATCTTCGAGTTTTCTACTAGCCTCGGCCTCCTTTGCCATGACCCGCGCGTGCGTTTCTTCCAACCGATTGACCGTATCGTCAAGATTCCTCTGCAGGCGTTCACGTTCCGTGTTCATACGGTCAATATCCTGGATTGTCAGGCCTTGTTGGTCAACACTGGCCTGAAGCCCAGCCCGCTCCTCTTCGGCGGCTTGCAGGTCATCCTCCGTCTTCTTAAGCTCGTCATCCAGGAATTTGATACGGGTCTCATATTTCTCGATCTTGCCCTGGACATTCTGGTTGTAGTCCTCAAACTTCCTCTTGTCGTCCTCCAAAATCCTGAAGTGCTTGTCTAGCTTGGCCATGTCCGGAGCGTTCTTCTCCATCTCTTCAATCTGGTCACGTAGCGCTCGGTTTTCGGCTTCCAAAGACTCCATCTCTTGAACATATTTTTCATTTCCTCTTTCAAACTCCTGGGCCATCATTTCGACGTGAGGTACTAGTCTCTTCTCTGCTGTTGCGTCATCCTCATCTTCCCCGCCTTGCAGCCAGTCATGGTAGGCACTTGTAAGGAAACGGAAGATAATCCGGTCGCCGGATACATCGACTCCCATCTCTGCGCAAGCTTCATCGTATTCCCCGAGCAAATATCGATCCATCATCTGAGCGAGTTGCATCAACCAATGCAGCATACCGAGGAATGTCGGCCAGTTCTGGCCTCCCACAGCCGCAATCTGCGACTTAGTGATACCCTTTTCGTAGGGGTAACGTAGTTGCTTGAGAATAGGTGGTACCTCCGCATCCATGCTCTTCTGAAACTTGTACCCGGGATCAATGCGATGATACAGCCACTGGAAGATGTAGTTGAAATCTTTTTGAGTAGGAGACCGTAAGGTGTTCTGCCCCAGTGAATGCTTCATCTCAAGCTCAAAATTGTTATGCGTCAGATATTCCAAGAGCTCTTGTCCAATACGAGCTTGGAAAGACCTGTCCCTGAGTGGCCGTGGGTCCCTGGGGACACCAGCAACTGACGGGACTTGAGTGAAGAAAGAATGATGACCCATGGCGCCACCCACAGATGGTCGTGAAAAGACACTACTCCTCCGTTGCAATCCTTGCGACCCTGCTGTGCTTTGCGACGACATCGGCCCGGGAGCAAAGCTTGGGCGCCCGACACTAGGACCATGGAACATATTACTGGAGACGGAGCGTCTGACTGATGAGAGACCGGCATCGGCACCAAAGCCTCCACCAGAAGAAGAACGCTGAAAGTTGGGCTGTTGGGGGCGACTGGCGGAGTTGAGAAGCGACATACGCGTGTGCTGAGAGGTGAAAGGAGGATTCTGGTACCCAATGGAGCTGGTGCGCTTCAAGGCCGAGGAGGGTTGCGGAAGAGCGGAGTAATTTTGGCTACCCATCGCCATAGACTGAGACAGCTAGATTAGTATTGTACAAGAGGGGTAGGCCAGAAGGAAGCAAGGCACATACCTCGCGGGTGCGCCTGATGCTGAACAATCCTGTATCCTGCGACATGATGACGGAAAAAGCCGCGACTGCGGCGGTCAATCTCAACCCTAGCGAGCGCAAACTCTTGAAAAACGGTTAAATTGCAACGGGCATGCGATCTGTACCAAAATCGATATATCCAGAAGAGGCGCGACACCAAGTTGGCGATGGAGGCGCAATAGGAGGTGGGAGAGTTGTGGATGGCAGTAGCAACCGAGCGGGCCAGCAATAATCATAATAATCAAAGTAAACAAGACATGCCACTTTCTCTTGTCCCAACACAGTAGGCGGTGATATCGAGGGAACGACTTGCCGGATTGGGGCACGCGCTATCACGAGACTCTGGGGAAAGTCACGGGAATCTCCGCCGCGGTACGAAACCAGAACCACGTAAATTACCAGCGCTACTTCCGAGGTCCATCTGATTTGGGAAGTGCCGCTCCATCGCCTCCTCATCTTGTGTCTCTCTCTCCCCTTCTCCTCATTGTCCTTTTTCCTTGGATTCCTCCCCCAACGCTCCTCCTCGCTAAGAATAACCCTGATTCCACCCAGTTAGAGCTATCGCTCCTGGGAAAGTTGCCCATCATGGTTCGCGAGGAGCTTATCTCCTCTGCTGTAAGTGTTGCCTTTATCTGTGACTGATATTCTGTTGCCGGAATCGGAGCTGACCCTCACGCTCGATCGTTTAGGTCACCTGTATGTGCTCAACACATCCATTACCGTGTTGATTCTGTACTCGTCTAATACTTCTGCAGTCCTCCAAGATCCATCTGTCGCCGCCTCGCCAATTGAGAAGCGAGTCGCATTCCTCCAGTCAAAGAACCTGACTAAAGAAGAGATCGATGTTGCGCTTGCCCGAGCAGGTGAAGATCCGTCCACAGCAGCTGCCGCTGTAACCGCATCATCTGGTTACCAATCAGCCCCTCAACAAGTTGTCTACCGACCTCCTCCTCCACCTGCTGCAGGCTATGGATATCCTCCCTATGGTCAATGGCAGGCTCCGCCGGAGTGAGTCTCGATTCTTGCCCATTTTAAACTGTATTCTACTAATTCCGCTTCGCAAGGCCTCCGAAACGGGACTGGCGTGACTGGTTCATTATGGCTACGGTGATGGGAGGAGTAGGTTACGGACTCTACACGATCACCAAGGTCGGTGTCTCAATACGCACTCTGCTCAATCAAGTAAAAAATGCTGACATGCTTTAAGCGCTACATTTCGCCCTTAATCGCACCTCCCACTCCACCCCAGCTAGAACAAGACAAAGAACACATTGATGAGCAATTCAATCGCGCATTTGCCCTGATCGAACAGCTGTCCACAGATACAGCCGCACTGAAGTCGGCGGAGGAGACGCGCACAGAACGGCTAGATACCGCCCTTCGCGAGGTAGAGAACCTTGTTTCTGACATGAAGAACGCCTCCCGACGGAGGGACGACGAGACCCGTCGTATCAGCGACGAAGTCAAGTCGCTGAAGGATGCGATCCCCAAGGCGCTGGAAGGTGCCCGGGAAGGCAACGAGACACGGTTGAAGGAGCTTGGAGCTGAATTGAAGAGCCTGAAGGTCTTGCTGGGCAATAGACTTGGTGGCAGCGGCAACAACGCCACCTCTCCTGCCCCTGGACGGTTCAGCGGTATGAACATCCCAACTGCTTCTCGGCCTGCGGAGGAATCAACTCCCGCCGCGGCGGCCCCGGTCAATGGTACGCCCGCTGCGCCAGCATCAACTGAGCAGCCCTCCCAATCGGCACAGCCAACCCCGAGCCCCAGCACCCCCTCGATGAGCAACAGCCCTCTATCGCAGCTGGGCCGCTCTGCTTCCATCCCAGCCTGGCAGATGGCTGCTGCCAACCGCTCCAAGACCGCTTCTCCCTCGACCCCTTCCACCAGCACCCCGGACAACACAACTGGCGCGGCTCCTGAGTCGAGCGCCCCGGCCAGCTGAACACTTACCAGATATACTTCTCCCAGTGATGTGCATTGTCCCAAGCCATGTAATTAGATGGAGGTTATCGAACGAACTTTACGCATGAGATGTCTAGGCGTTTCTGGATGGTGCGGAGGATGTACAATATGTAGCACGTGAAAGTACCATGTCGCAATAAAGACCACCAATAGGTTCCCGATAATTCACAAACAAAGAAAGTCTCTTATTAAAAGTAATATGGGCCAAGTTCTATAGATCTCAAAGCACAATGAACCCACAGGGCAGGCCCGCTCTTATCAATCGATAGACATTCCATGATTGACGCCCATCCGCCGCACTCAAAAGCTTGGCATTTCGACGTCAGTCCCATTCACATTCTCAAGTCTCACCAGCATTTTGCACCTTTAGACACCCTCAATTATTATGGACGACCCCCACCCAGAAAGAACCATGTCCACCCGCGACTCCTACTCCCACTCACGCTCTCATCGAGATCGCACCCACTCCCACACCCGCTCACGCACGCGCTCGCGCTCTCCCAATCGCGATCCTACCTCCAGATCCGACAAACACCGCAGCAGCAGACATCACCACCACCATCGCCATCACCATCACCGACACGACCGCCACCGTGACCATGATCGCGATCGCCACCGCCGCGATCGCCATACATCCCGCTCAAAAGATCAACCAGAACCCGCACCAGCAGCCCCTATAGTCCTTCCATTCAACTCGCGCGAACTCACCAAATATGACCTGGAGCACTATGCCCCCATGTTCGATATGTACCTGGACATCCAGAAGGGGATTATTATGGATGATTTGGCGGAGGATGAGGTGAAAGGGAGGTGGAAGAGCTTTATGAGGAAGTGGTGAGTATATATACTAGCTACATACTGTTGGAAGGGATGTTACGATGGATGGAATTGACATGGGTACAGGAACCGCGGAGAGTTAGCAGAGGGGTGGTATGACCCTGCTACGTTGGAAAAGGCGAGGACGAACCTTGCGCAAATGCAGGCACAGACGAGTACGAATACTGGTTATCGGGGCGAATCGCAACAGGATGAGCGTAGGGATGCGACTCGGGATAGGGATGTTGAAGGGGAAGACGACGAGGACGACGATGAATACGGTCCGGTGCTTCCCTCTACATCTGGGCGTGGTGGAGGTCCGTCTTCGGGACCTACGATACCTACTATGCAGGATTTGGAGTTGCGGAAGGGTATGTCTCGACTCATCTTTAATGTGACTCTTTTGTTTGCCAGGTGGTGGTAAAAAGATCTACTTGATACAGGCTTGCTAACAACAAGCAGAACTAGCAGCAGAAGACGCAATCGCAGCGCGTCAAGACTCGCGCGCCCAGTATCGCAGCGAACTGCGCTCACATAAGTCCGAATTCAAATACTTGCAGGAGGAGGTAGCGCCGCGCGCGGAACCGGGGACTCATGAACGGCGCATGGAGAAGCGACAGGAGGCTGCGGCGAGTAATCGTGCCTTTGCGGAGGCGAAGCGTGGGGGATCTCCGGAGGCAGCGCCGGAGGAGGAGTTGATGGGGTCTGGAGAGAATGATTTGGATTCGCTGAAGAAGGCGAGGGAGAGGGAGCAGCGGAAAAAGAATGAGCGGGAGATTCGCAGGGAGGAATTGCTCCGGGCAAGGGCGGCGGAGCGTGAGGAGAGGCTGCAACAATATAGACAGAAGGAGGAGGAAACGATTGGGTGGTTGAAGACATTGGCTAAACAGAGGTTTGGATAGTTCTTCTGTTTTGGTTTATATAGTGTAATGATCGTGCATTGGCTGTAGACGGGACGTCAATGGAATATAGCCGCGTATCCCTGTCAATCTCTTGCCCACTTTTCATCTACAATTGCTGCTGCTGCATCCTTGATTTGCATAGAGACAGCCATTTCTCATTTGGTCTTGCTACTAATGAGCCATTGAGTCTGGGTAACCTGATGATCACATGCTTAAATTGACGTATTTTTGTTTACAGGCAGGGAGACATCATCCAAACCATCCCATGAACGATGAACCGGCCTTCATCCGCGCCTCTTGGCCGTCACATTCAACACTATATCAAAGCAACCCTAGAACAGCCATACCGCTCAATCTCAAAAGCAACAACGCTCTACTACAATGCCAGTCCCGCCAGCAGCACCTCCTCTCACACAGGTAGACAATCCCCCCAGCACATCTCAACGTACACTGATCATCACCTCACCAGACTGGAACACCCACGATGTATTCTTCAAAATCACGCGTGGCCGCTTTCTCGTCGACGAAGCCGAGAACCTCCGCATGCGCGAGATCAAATTCGACATGAACGACTCGCCCGTATCGCAGCAGAATGGATGGGGGCCACTCACTGCACCTCTATACAGAAGTATCCCGACGGCATGTTCAACAAGGCCTTTCTCATGTCGATGGACAATGGCCGCGAAGTCGTTGCAAAGGTTCCTAATCCGAATTCTGGAATCCCACACCTAACTACAGCCAGCGAGGTCGCTACCATGAACTTCGTATATCCTACCACATCTATCAATGCCGGGTCCAGCTAACGCAACTTGATCCTGGGAGGCCAGAAACGTGCTCGGAACACCAGCGCCTCGTATCTACTCATGGAACTCGCATGCAAAATAACACCCAGTTAGAGCTGAGTTCATCATGGAGAAAGCTGCCGGCGTTCCCTTTCTCAGGTATGGGAGACACTGAAATTGGCTCAGAAGCTACAAGTGCTTCTTGCCATGATATGTCTGCAGAAGAAGTGGCTAAGTGTGTCATTCACGCATCATGGCAGCTTGTTCTACGCCAAAGACATACAGCCATCACCACCAGGAGAAGTCGCCCACTACATCAGAATCTTGGGTCGCATGCATTGCAATCTCTGAGTATCATGGACGAAACTGTTCGAGATTAGTTAGCCCAGGCTTTTCAGATGCCTTCGCGTCTTCGGGTATCGATCCTAACAAAGAATACATTAAATTCTTTGACTTCCAAGGTCAATAATAATGATGATACATGAGATCCTCTGCTTTGCAAATCAATCGTGCTTTGACTGTACTCTAGTCCTCCAGGGTCATCTGGCAATCCGTAACAGTAATACCAAAGAGTCTACATTACCAAAGACCAGCTCAGCTTTACAATCCTCCAGCATCACTACGCAAGCAGCGTGGTTCCTAACAAATTCTAAACGCTCAAAAAAAGGATCTACTCAAATTTAGCAGGCGCAGAACCAAGCAAACAGAAAAAGCAGCCAAATCCAAAGCTTTCAGGGAATCTTAGCAACAAATCTCCTTCCGACCGACCAAGTCAGAACTCCAACAAGTCAAGTCACCAGAATAACACTCAACAGGTTTGCACCGCCTGCCACCCACCAAATTTATTTCAGCTTAATTCAGTATTAACTACGTTTATCTTAGACTGGCAATAACCAGCCGAAAATACCCATCATTCAAAATTCCACCAGCAATAATATCTCATCCTATCACGCAGACTCCGCGTATACAGTCAAGGCTCTGTTATCAATTTTATATGAGTGCGCGAGGGTCAATCTCACATACGGGTTTTGAATAACTGATGTTCCGACAACAACGAAGCCTGACCAGATCCACAAATATGTTGATAACATTACGAAAGTGACTATAAGAAGGCAATTTAAATTATTCGCAGGGACAACGCTTTGGCCATAGACAAAGATCTTTATAACTGATGTAATAAAACCATTTATAGAATATTATATTTAAGGGCGCTGCGTTGATCGATCACACAAAGTTACCAACCGCGAAAGAGCCTGCGGACAGATTTACTATGGCAGAAAAGGTCGCAACTAAGAAGTATGGAAGATGCTGGATATGCCTTGGGCGCAGAGAACCAGAAGTCATACCGTGTCTTCTGGAAAAGCCTATTTAAAATGCGGGAAGCCGGCATTGACAAAGTCCTATATTACTGTATTAAAGGGTCCAATAGTTACTGTAGGAGATATCCAAGAACATCGGCAACTCTTCTTTAGATGTAATGATGAACTAGGAGACCTATTATTAATCTTATATTAAGCAATTGGAAACATGGACTTTCAGACTTCTGAAAGGCAACCCAAGACATCTTTTTGATCTTGAAGCCTCTCAAGTTGCAGAGAGCCTGGAAGTTCAGAAGTCTTCTTGGAATAATATAAAAAGTAAATGGACCTTTACCGGTGAAGAAGAACGTCTTAAAGAGAAGAAATTGTGGGTCTTCTCTAAAGTTTTATGTGTATTTCTTGATAGCCAATTGATATTGGAATCTGGGAGAGATAAGTCTGTATTTATCTTTCTCCTGTTTAAAGATGGCAGCTCTTTGTTCGTCTGCTCAATTAATCCTGTATATAAGGGAAATTCTTAGGCATGTTTACTGGTTAGATTCGTTTTTCTGGGGACTTGAGTGCCATCCATAGTATTCTAGGTCTAGTTGAAAATCTGTAGCTTGATTACTTATAACTCATCGGCATTATAAACTAAATGCTGGTTGCAGAACCTGATGGTTCTGCAAATGTACGCCTTCAATGGGAAGTTATTGATGATGAAATTGGGATAGAGAGTTGTACTTCCTTCAAAGTATTTGTAAAGGCTATTGTGCCCATAAATTTATTTGAATCTCTTGTTCGCGTCGCAGCTCACCAGGAGTAGTATGGCCTGTATTCATTCCCTGAGATGCAAAAAGAGAATTGCTCGAACTTGATGAAACTGACTGAAACAGCATTACCTCATTTTTGTTGCTGTGTATGGACGCTAGTTTTATTCAGGCTTAACTTGTATCCGTATGCGTGGTCACTCGAATTAACTTTGGCTTAATTGTTTACAGATATATTTGATATCTGAATGTGTGATCTGCTTTTTTACCTTGATCTTGTGAGAATTGGCTTGCAGAAGAGAGAGGATTATGTTTGCTGACCCTGCATTGTCGAAGCCTCGGTGTAAGGCCATGGCGGTTATAGAGGTCAAGTCACCCATCAGACACCATGAACGAGAGGAGTCGTCGCCACTGCACCAGGTACTGACGCTCGATATCATGGTCAACAGCCACAGGACTAGGTTGTCAAATGAACGTGTTTCCGTAGTCCGAAGAAAAGAGAACGGACTGGAGGGTTTTGCTTGCTCAAACTGATCACAAGCCCCCGCTAATTGAACGATACAGTGCTGTTCCTCGATCTCTATCAGCTATGCATGGCTATACGTCGCTCTTAATTTTCTTGGATAAAAAGCAGAGAGCGCTTCATCAATAAGACTGACCCGCGCCCTAAGCACCTGCTCATTGGACGCAAACTACGGAGCCAATCGCCCGAGGCTTGTGCGGAATTCAGGGCTTCACATTAAATACGCAGAACGAGTTAAATCCATGATTAGACGACCTCTATCGAGACGAGCCAGACAACTGTGGTTGCTTCTTAATGAACCTTGCTTTTATCTCAATCTATAGAGTAATGATGATTATAGCTCTTCATCCTAGAGAACAATAGTAACTTCAAATCAGCCACAACACCAGACACGAGCCAAAGGTACAGCGTGTTACGAACTGCAGAATCAATGAATGTGACAGACCCTGGTTTGAACGGGGCGAGAAAACCACCGGTGGATGGTGCCTTGGCATTTTCCCTGCGACTTGTAGTTATGATGAAGTATGGAAGACCAGAACAAGCCGCGACCATATCACAAATTCCAGCTTGCATGATGACTGTCGGCTGCCATCCACCGGCATGGAACTTAGAGGTTAGTAGAAGGTCAAGGAGAATGTTCACCGCTACTTTAACAGTGTTGATCACAAGTGGAACGTCTGGTTTACCCAGAGTGCGCGTCGCGCTGGAAGCGGCCACCTCAACCGCAGAACTCAGAGCAGAAAAGGAGCTGATATGGACGTACGTTATACTTGCTTCTGCGACGTCATGTGGAACGAATTTAGATAAAAACTCTCGAGCAGCACACACGAACATGATGCTCAGTAATACCCCCATTAAAGTTTGGAACACCAATAGTGAGTGTGCAAGTCCTAAGCGAGCCCCAAGGGATCGTGCTCCCTTGTCGGCAATTGTAGACCATACTGCGCGCGGCAGGCCTTCATTGATGACTTCTGCAACAGTGCCGATATGCGTGTAGACATCAATCGTGACGACGAGAGAGGCATCAATATTCGCCATCCAGATCTTGACAAGCGTGCCGTAGATGGCTGGAAGGATGAAAGTGGCGGAGCTGAAGAGGAGAGCGCCCATGTAACTAATCAATCAGCGTTTGTTATCACTCCGGGACGGGACTTACTTCGAACGGTACCACCATCGCTCGCCGAAAGCGCAATTTAGTGATAGGACCTTGGGTGATTCTTATGCAATGTCCGAATGGACAGGATCCGGTCGAACTGAATGTGTATATCCCTTTGGATAGGTGGAGTCTGCGTTTATGCCATCGGCGGACATACAGTTTACGTCAGGCGAACGATTGGGGAAAGAAGATGGGGTAGGCTGAATAATTGTCACACTAGCAGGTGCCAGTACCCGGACCAGTCACGTGCATTTTGGTAACTGGCTATTAATTCTTTGCAGATACCATCCTCTCATCTCTCACCTCCTGGTGATTCACTTCGGATCTGCCTGCCAACTTGAGATCGGACTTTGTGACCGGTCTCTTTTTGGCGTACCCAGTCATGATCTGGATGATATTAAGGGTTCGTTGATACGGGCTAATATGATACATGTCAGGTCTAGTTGGTCTGTGTTGACGGTCGCCCTGTTGAAGACACTTATACCGTGCAATCCTTTTTCAAACAGTGCTATGCCCAATGACGTATCAGATGGCCTGGTATAATAGGATGGAAAGTAGGCTGATTTCCATCAGCTATAGTGAGAATGTAGCTTGTCAACATCAAAGACAGTGGGTTGCGGTGTCGGGGGATCCGGGGGTACGTTGCCATTTACTTTCCGTCTATAGTCATCTGGAATATTTACAGTGTGTATTGACTGAAACACCACAAGGGCTTCAATTATGATCGAATTGGCTTTCACTGTTCAACTGGCATTGCCGCAGATTCTCGAGCGGCTTCGTGGTGGTGGAGAGCTGCTAGCATCCAATAAGCCGTCGGGTAGCAGGGGTAACTCTTGCTGAACCATGGTTCTTGGTCCATTGGAAAGACCAAGCTGGATAAGATTTCCCGAAATCCGATTTCAGCACTCACTTGATAGTCACCGCGACACCTAATCAGGCATACAGTCCGATCTTACAGATTGGAAAATCGAAGCTTAGTTCATGCAGCTTTATGACGGCTGAATGATACCTCAGATCCTTGCGCCACACTGTATATACGTGATTGGCCCACTACTAGTCCTTTCCCCACTCTGGAGTAGTATTTGATGGACGCTGTATGGATCAACGTTTTTGATCAGAGGATAACTCGCGCCTCCTAACTTAGCTAACCCTCAGCGGGGTATATTGTGCTATTTAGCATTGGTCCATCCAAAAGAACTCAGATTTAATATGTTTCATTAACCGAGGGAACTTTCTCATCGTAGAAGGTCACTCAGCAAACATCAATGCCGGTCTAGTATAACCGCTAAATGCTCTCCACAGTCTCCTTGGGTGGTAATATACCAAAGTTTTGGTTCCCCTTGGCCTCGAAATAGTGGCCATCTGCGATTCTCTGTGTACCTTCACCGAATAAGTTGTACTGGCGGCTGTTCTCGCCGTACTGGTTGGCAGCCCCAGGCAGGTCAGCTAGATCCGAATCTGCCAGCGAAGGACAAACTCCCGCCAGATCTTCGCGACCCTTCGCCAGAAGGCTGATCTGATTGTGCATTTCACCCAGAAATGCCTTGTGTGTCACCAATGCTCCTAGGCTCTCCAGGATGCCGTCCATCAAAGTCTCCACACGCTGCTTTCCTTGCCTCATAACTATACCTTGGTACACGGACGAATGGTATTCGCCCTTTGACTTTTCACCAAGTTGTTCAATAATGTCCAGTAGATTGTCGGCTTTCTTGTCGCAACTATACAGGGCGGTCTTCGATGCCCGGACATCTTCAGCAGACTTCAATTTCTCCGCAGAGCTTTTGACATCTCGCAAGGTTCTTTCAACAATGGGAAGCCAATTACTGGCTTCCTGAAAGGCTTCCGGTAAGTTAGAGAGGTCTTTGATAGAGTCAAATGCCGCCATTAACTGTTCTATGACCCCAATGAGGTCGGTAATTTGTCGAACGACCTCAGGACTTGACATTCTGGGCCAAAGTACTGGGCGAATGGTTATTAGAGAATCTTGGATGATCATGAGTGGTGTAATTCTTACATTGCTGACGCGCAGAATCCTTTTACTTTGCTGATTGGGAATTCTTTGTTAAAGAAATCGCAGAGTTCTAAGTAAAGGACTGGCAGACGGTCTGCGGTAAAGAAGGCATTCATACAAACTGCCAGAGAGTGTGGGTATCTTTGTCTAAGCATACAACAGAGGTCGCTGTGCTGGATTTATGGTTTCCCTGTGCCCACGGCGTGTAGTGGCAGAACCATAAACGGTCCGTGCGGCCCCACCCGGAGGAAATGGTCACGTTGCAACCCAGTAAACTAATTCATCAACTCCGGCGCGTAAGTGTACCGTAGCGTCAGCCATGGAGGTGTCTTGTCACAAGCGTCTGTCGTTTAACTGGCTGGTGCTTCTCGACTGATTATGAATGCGTTTCTCCATTTCTACTACCACGGCACAGCCCCTTATCTGGGCGGCTAAAGCTGTTTTCAATGCCTGCAAACGTGAGCACAAGCAAAACAAGTCAACGCTATCCTGCAACCGCTGGGCAAGGATGACACCAATTACGTTTCGTCACTAGCGGCGCCAAATCAGTTCTGAAAGCCACTCGACTATTGTCCACCCCAACTCGCTCCATGCTCCCGTACTTCGATTCAAAATTCTCTGCAGACCGATTATCGTGGGAGGGCGTAATGAGCTGCGGCTCCTTTGAATACGTACAGTCTGTCCTCCTTCACCAAAAATTGGGAGTAAAGTATTTCTCTGAATCGACATGAACTACCTACTCTTCATAGGTGTGCTGAGATATGAAAGGCCCCACACTGTGTGATTCATGCAAATAGAATTGACTCTCCTGGCGCTCAGGTGGAGCGCGATGTCTCGATAGTGACCCCCTCAATAGCAGATGCCATCAGGTTGGAAGGAACAACTTGGCTCTATAAATGCAATCTAGCCGGCTTACCACCATGCTCATCTCTTGGAGAATTGAGCTACAATTTCAATCTTGTATCGGAGACCGCATGATCTGAAATCTAAGATTCAGCCAATTTAAAATGCCATTTTTCAACCAAGCTATGGTTAATCGGGTTTTGAGGCGACGGCGACAACCGAGTTCAGCCCCGAATCCTACTCCTGAGCTCCAGCAGCGAAAGTCCTTCCCCAATGGAATCAAAACCCTCTGTAGCCCGGATGATGGGACAATTGAGTACGTGCCTTATTCGCTTAGTAAACCTCTCTAATGTTCTTCCAGCATCGTCTTCATTCATGGGTTAACTGGTGACCGTGAAGCTACATGGACTGCCGAAGGTGCAACTGAACCCTGGCCCAAAAGTCTCTTGCCATCCATACTCCCAACAGCTCGTATTCTCACATTCGGCTACGATGCATTTGTGGTCGATTGGCGACGCCCAGTTTCAGAGAACTTCATCGGCAATCATGCCTGGAATCTGCTGACATCTCTTTCATCGTACCGAGATAACGACGACACGGTAAGATAACTGACTCTTGAATCTATCAGCGTTTCGGGTTGTTGATACAAATAGAATGAACGACCTGTCATTTTTGTTTGCCATAGTCTGGGTGGACTAGTCTGCAAAGATGTACGATATCGCATCACGTTAGTGGAAGACGCTGGCAAAAATGATACTAATGATGATAGGCCTTGTTTCAGTCGAGGCAACGATCGGAGAAACATCTTCAAAGTATCCTCGATTGTACCCGCGGTATTATCTTTCTTGGGACGCCGCACCACGGAGCTGGACTTGCGAACTTGGCTGAAGTTGTCTCTCGATCCATCGGTCTTCTTAAGCAGACGAATCCAAAAATCGTGGATGTTCTCAAGCGCGATTCCGAGGTACTTGCGCGGATCCAGGAGGGCTTTCACACGATGATCAAGGCACACAGCACAGCAGAAACACCGCCAATTGAGGTCACTTGCTTCTACGAGGAGCTTCCGGTGCTAGGCGTTGGCTTAGTAAGCTAATAAAGAGGCCAGAGCTCCACTTTGATTGCTGACACCTAAGCAATAGGTCGTGCCACAATACTCGGCCATCTTGCCCGGTTATATCACTATTGGCATACATAGGAACCATATGGATATGACAAAGTTTGTCAATTCCGAAGATCCTGGATTTGTGGCTGTATGCGGAGAGCTACGTCGGTGGATTAGAGACACGGATCTAAACGAGAGATCTCACACCAAGAAATCACCAGCCGTCAAACCTCACGCTGCTTGTCAACATGGCAAAAATGGTCGACAATATAATCTTTTCGCTAATGGCGCCCAAAGGATTGCAGATGGACACTACTTTGAGGCTGGAGGAGATCAGAACTTTGGTATGATTCCACCTAAGGGTCAGTAATGAGTATGGGGAATTCATCGGAGCAAATGGTATTTCATTTGGCGGCATCCCTAATACTTGTATTTATGAGTAGAGTGTTTCCTGGTCAGCGTCTATATAAGGGAGAATCGAGTAATGACACTTCAAAGTGGAGCAAATAATAACAATAAGTGAGCTAATCAAATTTGCATGGGCGACTGGCGAGAGTACTACTTAGTGAGTTTGAGCGACAGGTAATTTTAGTTCTCGGACTGCGGTTCCCGAACTGGGGTTAGTTATGGAACTTGTGTTGTTATACTACCGCTGTTCCTGAACCCTAGTTCACTTCAGAGCTACCGTGATTATTGAACCACTTGTTTCCAGGACCTACCATCTAGTAGATCTCAAGGCCAGATCAGATGCACATGCTCTGCCTAATGTATGCTCATCCTTGATTCTATATACAATTAAAGGCGACTTATCTGCTGCAAGGTATCCTTCTACCATTTGAACGGACTCATAAATATAGATTCGCCATTGATGTTTTGGTGAACTTTTTGGATTTTGCCTTACTACTAAAATCGTGGTTGCAATTAGAGCCGCAATCAAAGATAAAACATGATGACACGACAAATTGCCCACAAGAGATACGCTAGTCGCATCTTGCCATTCTCAGCTCTCATGTATGCATAGGGATTCGCATGCGGGAGCCGGGCCAGGTGCATTTTCTGTAAGCAGATCCTTCGGGCTTTTGGTCTTTTCTTACTTCACAGCTAGTAAGCTTTATGCCGTTATTTCGGAAAACAAGAGCTAAGCTGATTAGGACTCTTACTATCCAACCCCAACTCTGGTAACTGATCGTGATTTGAAGAAGACTGGAGCCGATACAACGGTCAACATTGTGCAATAGAATCTATAACCGCTAGATGCTAGTCTGTGTGTTGTGAATACTGTACTGTGCTCACTGTAGAAACTGTTCGCCAAGGAATCACGCGTAGGTTGGATAAACGTGCTCCTCGAGGACCAAAGGCGTTAACTACTCCTTATACCATCACAAATCCACGTGTATGCACGCTGTCCACGAATCTTACATGTCTTAGATATCACTGGAGATTTTAGTCTCTCATGAGGTGTATAGCTTTCAACCCGTGGCGATGCGCTAGCCAATTACCTCAGGCCTGAATGGTGCATTATTCAAACCACCTTGGCTACTGTTCGTAAGACATTCACATAGACGTTGACATAGGCGCTTGGGGACACATTTGAGAAGACGTTTGAGAAGACGTTTGAGAGGGCGTTTGAGAGGGCGTTTGAGAGGGCGTTTGAGAAGACGTTTCAATAATGGTCTTATAAGAAGCTCTAGTTTATAGAGTCTCTCCTCTCCTCCCAGAACCACTGAGATACAATATTCAATGGCAGAATGATAGAATAATATTTTATTATTTTGAAGCAGGCTGCTGCGGGTTCCTTTTCTTCTGAAGAATTTTTTTATATAAATCTTTGTCCTGATGAGACAGCAGACATGTTTTCTTCTATCTATAATTATCTTGTATCTAGTAATTAAAATAATAAGAACTATATTCAAGATTTTCATTATCTGGTTTTTTTTTTCTTGTATTATCTACTTCGAGCGTCTCTGACGCCCTAGACCAGGGTGTCTAGAGCACCAACCATCCCCCTAAAACAAGCTCACAGCTCTATCGCACTACCTGCCAGTCCTCGAATCCCTGATCCCAAATGACACCTCCATCACCACTCCCCACCTCTGGCACAACAACCTCCACGGCGACAACATCTTCATCGACCCGCAGAACCCCAAATTTATCACCTCCATATTCGACAGGCAATCAACCCAGATCTCTCATAATCACATCCGTGACCCGGCTTTCCTCGACTGGGATAGCCTTGAGCCCGAGAGGGCCCGACCTAGTACCCAGACCTCGCCTCACGGGTCTCACACCCCCAGGAAAGAGCCGCAGCTGTGCGCGAATACACCACCCAAAACATATTCATCGGCTGGCGCAAACTCACGCGCGCCAAGAGCCCAGCCCTATATCGAGTCATTGAGTCCAGAAAGACGCCAGCGTTTGGGATGATATTTCTGGCCCATCGAATGTTCGAGTACGGCGAGGCGCACTTTCAATCACTTCTGGTGGATCTAAAGGACCACTGGGAAGACTTGCCTGGCGTTTCTGGCGATTTCCCATTCCCGTTCAGCTTTTCAGATGCAGAGATCGAGCGTATCAAGCTAGTTAGCGATGGAGCGGTGGCGGGGACGGAGCTTGTCGCTGGCGTGAAGGAACAACTGGGCGATTTGTGGCCGGATAAGGGGCTTATTGAGCATGAGAGGTATGAGGAGTGTAGGGCTGCGCTTGAGGAAGTTAGGGATCGGATTGTGGAGGAGTTGGGTGAGAGTGAGGAGGAGAGGGAGGAGTATCGGCGATTGTGGCCATTTGATTGAATTATTTCATAGGGATATTGAGAAAGACTATCTGTTCTTATGTACTATGATTTTATTGAAGTAAACCCAAACTTTTCTAGTCCTCTACATCTATCTACCATAACCAATAAGCCGGTACCCCTTTTACATAAGTAGAGAGACAACCAATTCGAAACGCCCACCTAGCAACTCATAACCCAAAACCAATATCAAACTGAGGAAGGTGAATTCAATAGAGAAGCACTCAAGCCTTCCTCCCCAAGTCCACATCCCTAACCAGTTTCAACATCTCCGTCCCCTTACCCATATCCTCTCCATCCTCTTGCAACCCAAAGAATGGCTTAACAGCCACATCGACTGTCTCCTCAAACAACTTCCCAACAACCAACTCCTTAAGATCCTCGCCAGTCTGGGCGAAATCCGGATAGGCATTCAATTCCAACAACCAGGCATTACCCTTCTTATCGACCAAAAAGTCCACGCCAAAGAGTTCGAACGCATTCGGCAGAGTCTGGAAATGCACCATCATGCCCCTAGCCGCAGCCTCAAAGATCTCTCCTGACACGGCGCAAATCTGATCAAATACATTCTGTTTCCATGTATCGCTGAGACCGGGGACGTAGTCCTCGAGGCTCCAGAAGCGGCGGACGCTGTCCGGATTGGCACGGCCATTTTCCTGGAAACAGGTGTTGGTGAGGTGGCGGGCGAGGTCAGTGACTTCGTCTTCGTCTTCGAAGGGAGGGCAGTAGGGTTTGGCGGCGAAGAGGGCGAGCATTTCCTTGAAGACGTAGATCTTAAGGGAGCCAACGGCGAGGACGTAGGTGCGGATGTGAAATTTGCGGTTGTGGGAGGAGGGGATGAGGAGTGGGGGGTCGATGTAGGGTTGGGCGATGAAATGGCGGAGTTGGGAGGTTACGACACCGTGGTTGTCGTCGTCTTCATCGTTGTCTTCGGGTTCAGGACGCTCGGAGCCGCTTTCATCGTCGGAGTCGGGCACTTCCCATTCTTCGAAGATCTCGCGCAGGCCATCTTCGCTGTTGAAGAGGCGGATGCCTTGGCCGCGGTCGCTCATGCCGGGTTTGAGAATCCACCATTCTTTCTCTTCGTCGGGGAGGGTTTCGTTCTTTGCGAGGCTCTCGCGCAGCTCGTAGGCCTCTAGGAGAGCGTCGTCGAGGAACTCGGCGTAGTCGAGCTCGAAGTCGAAGCCGGGCTTGAAGTGCTTGCCCAGGACGCTGTCGGGATGTTTGGTGACCCAGTTGATGACGGTGTTGGACAGGTAGTGTTTGCGGATGAGGGCTTTGCGGATGATGTAGGCGTTGGCGAGAGAGGTGGAGGTGTGCATCATGGTGTGCTCAAAGTCCAGCCGCTCGTATTCACGGTACTGGAAGATAGGTGTAGTGCGAGAGGGGAGGTCGGAGAGAGATGAGATGGCACGACATTGGCCATTGCCAAGACGACGCTGGAGCGCCCGCTCCATCAGACTCTGGACATAGGAGTCGTCGCTGTCGACGAGAGAATAAAATGTAGGCTCAGTGTTATTATCCGGTCTACATGAGATGGAATCTATCAGAATACCAGCCATCACAGACAAACCGAGATAAAGTAAGTAGCAAAAAGAGCAGTCGAAGGGGCAAACAGCAGAGCGCGAGATGCATAAACTAGCTTGTATATCTGACAGACGCGCAAATTCTATGTTATATGCAACCACGCCGCGACTCAGCATCATTCCACTCACAGCGTAATCTCTCCTTGAATTCCAGGTGTATGCATGAAATTGGCTCGAAGCGGCGTAACACTGTGATGCATTAGCAGGACAGGACAGCAGATTAATGGGGCCTTGACAAACCTGGTCATTCCCTCCTTGACAGCCCAGCCGTCGTTTCCTGGAGCACCCTCCTCCACACTTCTATACACGTCCGAGAAGTTCGGTGCCCATTCGAAGTGCTTGTGTTGAATGCGAGACCGCTTCAACGGAGTCGTGCCATCCACAGCCGGTGCCGACTTCTCTCCCGAGCCCACAGTCTGGTGTCGCACATCGTGCTCCTGCTTCTCAGGCGAATTGGCTGAGGCCGAGGCGTCGACCGCGCGGAAACAGCTGCCCGATGACCAGCGGTTATCGAGCATGTTGGTGTACAGCACCTTGTTCTGACTCACACCAGGCTCCAGCGGGACATTGACGGTATATAGGTCCACACCGTCAGCCCAGTTCTTGTGAAGGTACTCGATTAACCGAACGGAATGGCGCGATGCCTCCGCGATGACAACGGGATCATGGTCTCTGGAGCTGAAGGCATATGACAGTGCGATGGCGGGCTTACCGCAAACCGCCGCCTCCATAGCACCACCAATGGTTCCACTCGACAGGGCGAAGAGAGCAGTGGAGTTCCGGCCGTAGTTCGGACCGGACACCACGAGGTCAATCGGGCCACGGTCTTGAAAGTAGTGGTACAGGCCGATCTGGACACAGCTGGCCGGTGTAGAATCCACAAGAATCCATTCATCTCCATCGTAGCTGTCATCGTCGCCCTCATTCATGCCATGAGGGAATTCGTGTGTGGTTCCATCGTCTTTGTGCAGGGTACCCGGACGGAAGTAGGTTGGCTTCACGGCGGCCCCGATCAGGTGAGCTTTACCGATCCATGATCGCTGCTGGTGGGGGAGAACTACAGACACAATGTGCCCGGCAGACTGCAACGATTGGACGAAAGAATGAATGTACGGCGAGGACTGGTTGGACGGCGGGCCGTCGTCGTTGACAACCTATTAGGCGGAGGATGGCGATCAGCATAAGTTCGGAGGGGGATTGGGTTTTAACGAGATGGCCCTGCTCCAGAAGCAGACTGTGAAGAGAGTGGTCCACTTACTAAGATATGCATTGTACCGGAGTGAGGAGTCTGGAGAGAGAGGGAGGCAGGGGTGAGGAGAGGAAGAAGAGATGGCGGAGGGGCAGGCAAAGGCAGAGTTGGGCGGCAGCGAAATTCCCCCGCCTTTCTCCTTCTCCACCCGTTATCGATAACTACTACCTGAACTATATTCATCGCTCTATCTCCAATTCTCATCAACATATTCAGAATGCTAAACACTGTATCATATTGGGTATCTCGAAAGTAATAGCTACAATGTCTCTCTATGGTCCTCTTGGATTATATGGCTTCGGCGTCTTTGCACTCCTCGGGCGTGAGCACTTTCCCTGGCTGTACCAGTGCCAGAAGCCTCCGAAGGCCCTTCGCCTCGGCCATCTTCTGCGTCCTCTTCGTACAGATAATTATCCTCGTCAGTTTCATCTTCATCTGCAATTCCCCCGTTATCTTCTTCATCTTCTTCCTTCTCGGCTTCCTCAGGCCCTGTCACTCTCCTTTTCTCGGCTGTCTTTGAGGATTCCGCAATCGGTAAATGGAAGAGCGGCTCGTCGATCTCCTCCTCTTCTTTCTTTATGATGGGTGTAGCACTGCGATCCTCCTTTTTGACGACAGGGCCGGATGTGTCACCCCGACTGCTAAGAAGCGATGCAAACACTACCCATGCGAGCCCAGTAGAAGCCATGCTGACGCTCCAGAACAGGAAACCGAAGACAACGAATGAGGTAAGCCTCCAGTTATACATTACCCAGCTTGACATGAATCAGCTTCATCGACCCGAGAAATTAACTGTAGAGAAAGGATAATCAGGACATACCGTAAGCCCGTAAACCGCGCCCGGAAGGTGACCTTCGCTTTGTATACTTGCATTATCTCTGAGCTATGGAGCTCCAGGCGCAAGCTTCCTGGTATGTTGCGCCAACCACGAGCGAACTGCACTCGTTCCATCATCGGCACTTGCAACTTCTCCGCTTCGTGGTGCCAGCCCAGCACGTAAAGTGGCATGAACGAGATCTTACTAGCGGTGTCCACCAACGGCGAAGTATAGGTAAGAATAGCAGGGCGGCGCGAGTGGGAGAGAGTCGTAACCGAAGTATTCGTATCGTACGCAGCAGATGTGGACGGGCGGGAGAGAAGGGCCAGATCTAGCATGAAATTGCCCGCCGCAAGGTTGGAGGGGGTTCGTGGTAATTCGAGCTCCACCTGGACATCGTATGGCAGGGATGGAACGAGGTCGGATCCTAGGCTTGCGACTCCCCAGGGAGGTCCTTCGCTAATCGGCAACAGAAAGAGTCAGTCACAGTCATTAAAATATTAGACAAACGACTGTATAAAGTGTTCAGCGTCTGCCCTAAACAAGGACCCTAACTCACCCAAACTGCAAGTGGACAATTCGTTCGAGGCCCGCCTGCGGGATAAACCTGTAGTAGAAGATGCCATACGCGACCGTCGATGTGACGATCATGGCTATGGCCGTACAGAAGAAGAGGAAGGCCCCTAGATAGATCTTCTGGGCTCGTTTTGACACGAGCGGTCGGAGAGCTTCTGCCATTGTGTGCTACGTGTTTGCGAAAGTCGTTAGTTCCTGTTCTGCCATGATGGATGGGAGAAGAGAAGGATTGTTACCATGACTTCTGACACGACGCCGCTGCGAGGGTCTGCATCATCATCAGGATCCATGGTTCCTAGAAGGATCTGTAAAGTTAGGTAATTGAGAGGTGCGGTGACAGGAGAACCGTCGCAATAATTGTTTTGTTCCGAAGAGGTACGAGGATCGCGTCGACGTCACCGAACAGCACGGCGCGGAGAATCTCCCCGACGCCGATCCCCAATTTAGGAGGGACTGACTGGACTGCTCCACAATATACACTCTCCCTATCTAGACCATCCCTCCAAATGAGGTTGGATTTTCTACGGATTCGTATGCACCAATACTCATGGACTCATCTTTTTTTAAGATAAACTTATCGTTACAGACTACCGATGTGGTAGATGGAATGGATAAGAGAAAAACACCAACATGAAGCGTAAGAAACACGAGCAAAAAGGAACAAGATATAAGCACCATGTAGCGATGGACCATGCTAACACGTCCTAATATGCATACCCCGCCCAGAAACCCAACCGAAACAATGAGAAAAGACATAGAACAGTACAGCATGCCAACGGAAAGCAAAGCAAACGTAGAAACCCTTCAGATCATACACCCCGGTAAAGTCCCGTATTTTGCGCTGCATTGTCATGAGCGGCATCGATAGAACACCATCAGAGTCGGTCATCGCGGCTGAATGCAAGGCATGGAAACATGATCAAATACTTCGTATTAATATAATAAAAGAAGATAGAGGAGAGAGTATAGCTCGGCGATCACTCAAGCCATGGCCCGCGGGCTCTGTTGCTGGATGTGCTGCAGGAGAGCATCAAACAGACGGCCGATCTAGTAGTAAAAGTGATGTCAGTGAAATGGAACAATAGGCCTTTTAAACAAGGGTCAGCTTACCTCAGGCGCAGCCTGAATGAACGGAAGACGGAAGAAGGTATAGCTCCGGTTCTGAAGTAGCTCCTGCAGGGTAATGATGAGACCCCATGGATGAGGGCGGTGGACAATAAGCCTCTCGAGAAGCACCCGGATGATTTGCTGACGAATGTCAGAATCGTCCTGCTCCGAGTAGTCGGTGCCGAACAGACGGAGAATGGCGAAGCTAAAGAAGTAGGTATGGCTGTTGGGGTAGCGGAGCTGATTGGCCATGCCGCTCAATAGATAGTACCGCGCCTCAGGCCGGAAGGCCTTTGCTAGCTTCTCGAGAAGGGCCGAGTGAGGGGAATTGTCAAAGGCCGCGCGAATGTTGCTCTTGGTCGCATTCGCAGACACGGCGCTCTGACCAATGTAAAGTACAAGCGCATTCAAAAGGACCACATTGACGTTGATCGGCGTATAGTAGGGGCCGGTTTCCTTGGTGGGAGGATTGTACACGGCATCGGAGATCTGCTGAATGACCGAGTCAGATGCATTGGTGCTCTGTAGTGCACTGTCAACAGCACTCTTGATGTTGGCCTGTTCCAGCGGACCAGCAGTATCGCCGGCGATTCTCGGGGCTTCCCGCATTTCTTCCAGACGCTCAACCTTCAGCCCCTCCCTGAACGGGTCCGGGAGTTTGTGGAAGGATGACGGATAAGCACTCAAGACCAGGTTCCGAAGCTGGGCGCAATGAGCAGGGATGACATTGCAGAACTGGAAGTGATTCTCTGCCACGAACTCAGGGAAGTCGTGATGCAAAATCAGCAAGATGCGAAGAACACCCTTGTACAAGTCCTTAGCAACGTAAGAGATACTGGCCGGCTTGAGCTGCTCGCCAATGTAAGAGAGTAGAGCCTGCATGATTTCGCAATACGGTCCCCAGCCCGCCCGCTCCGGCATATTCAGCATACCGGACATGAAGAATCTGTGAGAGACCAACGACAGCCACCCGTAAACAAATCCAGGGCAGTACTTGGGCTGAAGAGACAGGAATTTATTAGCAAAGGCGAACATCATGTCCTGATGCTGATCGCTTTGCTGAAGCCCGTTCATGGAATATTCACAGAGAATGCTGGAGAATAGCCTGAAGAAGACACGCTGATTGAAGGCCTCGCCTCTCATAACATGGTGGTGATTCAGGACAAGCACGAGCAGTGAGAGAGTCGAATTGAAGAAGGCTGCCTTGCTTGTCTTGGCAGCTCCTGTAGACTCGCCTTGGAATTTGACAAGCAAGACAACCAGCTTGCCAAGGGCATCGATGTAGAGGAACGCCTCATCAAGACTGCCACTAGGGTTCTGCGACTCGTGATCAAACATTGCAACCGAAATGTCGATGCTAAGGCGGAAGAAGAGTGCCGAGTCTTCTTGATTGTCCATGACCCGTCGCTGATGCAGATCCTTAAGGAACGAATAGTAGGTGCGGTCAATGGCACCTGGAGCCTTGTAGATACCAATCCACTCGCTGAAGATATACTCCATCTGATCTCGCTTGGACCTGGCTTTGTCACTGAGTAGCGGATTGACGACTTCGGGAATGCCGGATTCACGCAGCTTGCGAATGATGTCGTTGGCCACAGTAACATCCGACTCCTCTGCAAGCCATTGACTCATGGCTTCAAGACTGCCCGAGAAGTCAGATCTTAGAGCAGAGGGTTCTTCGCTGAAGAGAACACGGTCCATGAGATTGGAGAGGACATCCAGGGCAGCAGTGTTCTTCTGAAGAATAAGACGTGTCAAGATCATGTCAACTCGACGAATATCCAGTAGTCCGACATCGATGAGTGCAACAGTAACTGGCACGTTGAACATGTGCTCGTCGTCAACCTCAGAAAGTATGGCCCAGGTGTAGCGGGCGACAAGAGTCGACATATCGCACAGTTTCGCGAGTAAGTGTGCGAGAACTTCGATCTCTAATGTCCCGGGTGTCTGCGAATATAGAGTCGTACAGATTCTGAGGCCAGTGAGCCGAGCGAGTTCTTCACCGTTTGGAGAGGCAAGGATAGTGCGGAGTGCTTGGTTGTACTCTTGGAGGACAGCACTCTCCCTGCCAAGGTCCCGAATGCGTTCTTCAGGGGCGTTCCGAGCTGCCTGCTGTAACTCGGAAACTATGCTCTCAACCTTCTCACGCGGGCTTTGTGCCTCAAGGAAGCCATTGAGCTGAGATTGCGCGCCCACAAGACCAGTCTGCTGTAACCGAGCATCTTGCTGGGGCTGTGGTGTCCTATGGGGCACAGCTGGCTGCTCTGCAGGAGTAGAGAGATTGGGGATAGGCGAATATGGTTCCTGAAGAACATCTGGAAGCTGACGACCAGAATCGGTGGAAACATTCTGAACGTGGGCCGCTGCGGGGCCACGGGCTTGACGGGCAAATTCCTCATAGATTGCCAGTTGCTCTTTGTTCAAACCCCCTGCGGCCTGTCGGTAAGGCTCGGGGATGAAAAGGCCCCAGCGATTCATTGATGGGTCAATGAAAGGCTCATTAGGCCGGGCCGCTCTGTGACGCCGACGAGCTTCCAACTGGGGTTCGATGACTTTCTCAATCTCAGGAAGAGACTTCTCCTCCGCAGCCTTCTCAACGATACCGCAAGCAGCATCCAGGTTATCGTTGACACACATGAGAATCAACCCCTCAGGCATTGGCTGATCGGAGTACTCTTGCTGGATCATGCGAATGTAATTGGTCATGCTCACCTTGAGCGGTTCTTTACAGGTTACAAGAGCCAGGCTACCAGCCAATTGCCTAACCATTATGCCAGCCGCATGACGCACTCTTTCCTCATCAGGCTCCATTGCGAAGTCCTTCGACACCAGTTGAACAGTGGAGATAGATGCGATGGTAACTGAGCGTTCCACAACGGGGGTGATAATTTCCGCGATGGCACGCTCGACCGCGCTGTGCACTATCTGCCGAAGGACATTCGGGTCGACCATGCTGCTTGCAGACGACGGGAGTACAAGAATCTTGTCCAGGCTCGGGAGAGTCGACATAATGGCAGCGGGTGACAGACGCTCGTGGCGGATTCCTTGGTTGATACTTGTGAGAGTCATGTCCTCGAACGCCTCTAGACCATCTGGTATATTGGCCGTAGACAGCGCATCTTCGATGTGAGCAGAGCGGTCGCGGATAATGACGGAAGGCTCAATGGTCTTATGATCGAGGTCGAGATCCTTGCACAGAACTTCAATTTCGAACTTCAAGTTCAATTTGAGTTCAGCGAAATGATACAGTTCCATGAGCAATGCAAGGATGTCCATCAGCCAAGGATTGGGAGGGTTGAACACCGTGGACTTCGTGGCTTGGACGAGCACTTTGCATGTGAAAGGAATCACAATAGTCAGGCGCTGGCTATCGAATCCCTCCAAGAGAAGTCCCTTGAAGTAAACATTCTTATGTTTGATGGGCTTGTCCTTGGCTATAGTCAAAGATCCAAGCCACGCACCGAGGTTCTTGAGATGACCGCGATCGGTGGATGAATTGATTGTAGCCTCGGAATTCAGAAGCTTGGAGACACTGACATAAGTTTCCCTCAGAACTTCCGCCCATAACAACTTGTCATTGATACGGTCCAGCAAGTCAAGATAGAGCTGCTGGAAATTCGGCTGCAACTTCGCACGTTCCTCCACGAGGTAAGACGCGAACCATTGATGGTGTTGGTCACGAAGAACATCCGTGAGGTCACGCAGCTTTTCATCAATGTTTTGTTCGGACACATTGTTCAACACGAAGAGAATCTTGTCTTGGACATCTTCGTCAGGATCACGATAGACCTCAGGTCTGATAAGCGGATCAACATGAACGGAAACGAATTTACGAGTCGATCCGTCCGCGGTCGCGTTCTCGTCAACGTTCCCGTTCACGGCAGCACCCGGAATACTGTCCGCCCTTCCAGCCTCATCCCTAACTTGACTCCCTTGCTCACGCAGAACTTCCTCGGCTTTCTGGTAGATCGTAGTGCCTTGCAGGGTAGGTATTTGTAGGAGCAGATGGCAGAAGCCAGCCCACTCCGGAAGACGGTTGATCAACTGCTCAATCGCCTCGACACCGAACTTGTACATAGGATCATGCATTTCATGATCACGCACCGCCTCCAGAATCATGCCCAAACCGACCTTCAGGGTAATGCCGTCCACCAGCCGGAAGTTGATGATGCCACCAAACATCACAGCTGTTTTGGTCAGTGCCTCCAGGGGATATTCATGATAGCAATGATATTCGTCAATAAGGCCATGCACCATGCAAGCGAATAGGTCCTGCTCGGCTGGTTCACGGGAAGACTTATATCTTCTCATTAGCTCAAGGATTTCCCTGAGTGAGAGCTCCTCGTGATACATCTTGCCAAAAAGCTCTTGCATCTGCTTGTCTACTGCCTCAGGCAACGAATTTCCGTTCTCCCCGTTGGCGTCAATGATGTCGTCGAAACCTTCCCCGTAGTTGATGAGTCGCGGATAAGTCTGAATGCATATCCGTTGGACAGGAGTAAGATTTTCACGGTCACCGACATATTCTTCGAGCACCGACAGCAACGTGAACACCGTTTTGACCGCAAGACTAACCATCTGGGGAGCCGACTGTTCCTTCCTTTGGACGTGAAGCTCGTCTTCTGCCTTAATCCTCAGAAACTTGGATAGTAGGCTTCCCATATCCATGGGACCTTTCTGTGCCGCATTACGAACCCACTGTTCCAAGTCAAAGGGCCCTTTACGATGAGCGTAGCAAGCAAGGTCCATAGCGAGACCATTCGTGTATCCCAGAAGATAGTCGAGCCAACCAAAGTCAACAGCATGTTCATAGATGGCAGCAGTAGACGTCGGGTCCTGCGTGAAAGTCGTGAAGAGTTGCTCCGCAACCCACTGACGATCTTGACGCCAGGCCCCGTGCAGTGCCAAATGATATCCTTCCTCTTGTTTGAGTATGAAAACGATCAGAGTTCGAAGGACAAAGCTCTGCTGCACACTCGTCCAAGGCTGAGGGAGAGAAAGGGCTGAGCACAGGAAAACAGGCAGATCATACTGGACAACCGCCTTGATCATAAGTTGACTTTCCGCGGCAGCCCAAGATGCTTGGGAAAATAATGCCAGATCGAATATGGCCCTCATAGCGTCCAAAGACCGGAGTGGCGATTTTGCAGCACGTTCGCCTTGTAAACGAACGAGCTCGGGACCATCGGCAAAGAAGTCGGAGGGAAAGGTGGCGCGCAGGTTCGGAACTTGGGACACGTCTGTCCTGGAAGCAATGAAAGCGGTCAGGAAGGACATCTGTGTGTCACGATGCTCCCAATCACCACCCCAAAGCTTCTGAATATCTAGGGTTGAATCATCCGTAGCTGCAGCCAATAGGACCGCATACAGCTTCGTGAATTGTCGAGCATCGAGCCTTAAGCCCTCACGGTCGAAGCTGCGGAAGATGAGAGACCAATTGATTCGCTTCTCGCCATAGTGTGCCTGAACAGCCCCGAGGAAAGTCTCCAGGGAGAACTCGCGCCAATGCTGACAGAGTACAAGGAAAAGCAGCGCACTGGCAATATGCTCTTCGCCCCAACACTCGGGGCCGATTGCGTTTATGGTCTCAGTGACGGCATCGGCATTCGAGGTTGCTTTCGGTCCTCTTGAGTGAAGTTGGCGGACAAGTGTATACCTGGGGTTAATGAAATTAAACATCTGAAGGGCAGACGCAACCTCAAATGGCATGTCCACGCCCAACTTCTGATAGCGTAAGTTCGCCGCATACACCAATTTCCCTTTCACTTCATCTGTAAAATTCCTAGGCGGATACAGTATGAACCGCTCGATTGTCATGCCAATGAAAGAATTCTTGTAATCCTTGCTGACATCAGACAGCGTTGCCAGGCTTTGCAGGAACGGTGTTATGGAATTGGAGATTATCGCATCAGCTGCCAGAAAGCATTCGTCAGTTGACTTAGAACAGAGTCTCATAGTCGGACTAAACAACTCACCTTTAGCACGCAAGTCCGACTTATTAGCGGTTTTGAAAGCCAGCGCGAGAGAAACCTTCACAAGAGGATCGAGTTTAAAGTGATCCAAAAATGTGGAGAGATCGAAATCGCGGAAGATATCACCCTCGGATGTATCGACGGTCTCTGCGATCTTCTGAGCCTGTTCTATATCCTGAGACACTTTCTGCATCTCCTGAACTAGGAGCGGATAATTGCCAGCATTTTCCACGGACTTGTTGACGCCGGGGAAAATTTGCGGGGCATTGCCCGTAAGCAAGCGGCGAAAGTATTTGGAGAAGACCTCCATTCCGTTTGACTCAACAAGCTGGTACCAAGTCAGCATCGTATAGATACAACAAATAGGGGGGTTGACATCCGCGGCGCTATGATCTGGTGTACTTACTTTATGAATTTGAGCAGCTTTGGTCTCCCACTTTTCTCTACCCTCTTTCTCCGTGATAGAATCTAGGAGCAGGAAAACCTGTGCGATGGATATCTTCGTCAACGATGACTGGCTCGCGTGAGCAGCAGAGCCTGAAGCTGCCGATCCTGGCTTGTCAGAGGGAAAGCCCGTAGGTGAATTCACGGTTGTACCGGACAACAACGGAGAGAAGGTGGCGCCTCTGGAAGATCCCGTCCCACCTCCGCCTCCCCCGGAGCCTCCACCACCCGCAACAGAACCCGCTGCGGAAGCCAGATGTGACCCTGAAGACGGGGTGTGAGCTCTGAATTTAGGTGAGGAGAGAGACTGCCCGGGTTGCTGGTGCTGTTGCGAGCCAGATTGAAAGGAGGCGAACGGTGAGGGCGTGGAGGCTGGCGAGGGTACGTTCCGACCAACAGGATGGCCCCTAGCGGAGCTCAGAACGGCGGAAAAGGAGGAAGTCAGAGGAGACGCGGTTGAACCACCTGGACCAGGACTGTTGGACTGAGGTGGCCCCCGAGAAGCTGAGGCGAGTGAAGAGAGGTTGTTGGTCGCAAGTGGAGTCAACCCACGCCGAACACTGGACTGGGACACAGACGGACCCCAAGGAGATTGCTGTGACCTTGCCGGCCTGGTCGAAGAGGATTTATCGGTGCCAGAAGCAATCGACGATTGGGAGGAAGGAGGAGGGGGAGGGAAGGTCATCTAGGAGACGCGATCATTTGATCTGAAGGCGAGCGACAAATTTTTATTATTTGCAACAGAGTAAAAGCAGAGTCGAAGCCAAAATTGATGGAAACAATCGTGAGACGTGCAACAGAGCGACGGATTCTGGCAGCGGAAGAGCAGAGACCGATGGCAATGAAGAGGATGTTGCTTCGTGGCACAGGATGGAAGTTCCGATGGGTGTGAATGACGGGCAGAGAAAGCGAGGTTGAGTGGACGTGCGGGTCGAGGTGCCTGAGGAGCCCACACTATGCGGCCTTAGGCAGCGAAAGAGAGCTGCGTCCTGGCTCCTCCCACTTACTGAAGAGAGTAGGTAGGGGAGGTCGATCAATCCAGAGTATGGGGGGGGTGGTGAAATTTGGCAGAGAGATGAAAACCTCAATTCGGCAGTCAGGATTTAGGGATTCGAGCTGAGATTAACGACCAGTGGAAAGGACGCGCAATATAGTTTTGGCAAAGTGCGTAGGCGAGCGACCGGACTCGACCTCCAGCTTTGTCTCTCCTGCATAATGACCACTACGTTTAAGCAAGTGCGGCTGGGGGGGTGTCCCGGGCACGTGAGCATGACGGGACCAATGCGGTGGCTTATATAACCGCTGAGTCATCGGGTGTTCCTGAGATGAGGTGCAGTCTGGTTATCTACAGTTAGTAGGTTTATCAAGGTAAAGTTATCTACGCTCTCTCAAAAGTGCGAAATATAGGCAACCCGAATTTCCCTATTGACGGTAGTCTCCAAAAGTTACTCGTTGATGCCCAATCCCCTCAGCATGGTCACTGACATTTCCCCACGAGCAAACCAAGTGTAGATTATGGCGAGTTATTGCAATGGAGCTTCTCCCAACAATTTTCAACACTTTTCTAGAACCACGTATACGATCCACAGCACTAGATATATCCCAATTCACCAGGTGCAGGATAGGTGATAGTAATCGGGGGGTCTGACTGGAGAATGTATAGGTAGACTGCGTTCTTCGCGCGCCATGAGTAAGACCTCGGGACCAGCCACATCCAAAAGCCGATGAATGGATTATGACCGACCTCAGGGGTTTTAAACCTTACAAGCCAAGGAAGGGCGCAAATAAAGTGTGGGAAAAGCGTCACAGGAACAGAAATCCATACCATTCGTCAGGTTCCAATCACTGGCTGAGAATGATAGCCACCGGCGGATATCCCTTGATGGGCCCTCGAGGAAGATGAGGTGGTCATTGGGCTGCCTGACGCTGCCCCGTGATATTACCGCCGGTTGCCCCGAGAGACACGCCAGTGTAAACATGACAGCGTCAGCCATCTCCATTCCACAGCGCAGCTTGTGGCTAACTCCACCAGATCCAGTTCATCTGTACTGCTTTCTCCATTGTTTCTTTTGAATTCTGGTTCTTTATCTTGCTTCTCCAGGGGCATCCAGGTTGCCATCTTCGTTTGGTTTTCCGTCGCCGTGGGGTTCCGGGTTGTTCAACATTTTTACAGCTCGCTCTGCGTTACCTTTCAAATTGTCCATATCCCTAGATACCGATAACTAGATGAGCAAAGGCTGGCCGAAGCTCAAGACCTTTACCGGACTATAATCTGCCAAAATGCCGGGCACAGTTGCAGACGGGCCAACGGTGGCCATGTCCTGTATAGTACCTCAAAATTCAGTTAGCGAGTTCCATGTCAAGCTAACACTTCGACTTCTACAGTTGCCAACAATTTCTGGGGCAAGGAAGACGCAGGTGTTGGACCAATGTTGGATAGAATGCACACGTCGAAAGTATCGTGTGATGAATTAAAGACGTTCTACAATAGTACGTTAGCCGATCCTGGGCTCAGTATGGGCTTATCTGTGTTCTAACGTGATGATTAGTACGTGCTGCTATCGAGGATGAGTACGCGCGAAAGCTCCTGGCACTATGTCGCAAGCCACTCGGATCAACAGAGATAGGATCCCTCCGGTCGTCGTTCGATACCGTCCGTGGTGAGACTGAGGCTATTGCTAAGGCCCACGCAGCAATTGCGGGACAGATGAAGAGGGAGCTAGAGGAGCCATTGATAGCTTTTGCCGGTGGTTCTAAGGAACGAAGAAAGATTATACAAAACGGTATTGAGCGTCTACTGAAGACTAAAATCCAACAGACGCAGACTGTGAACAAGGTAAACTGCCCTGCCTATCGAGAGACTTACATCGCCGTGCTGAACAAAATAGACCAGAGATCGGTATGAACAAGATTGCCTACGGATCAAGGGTTATCTGGCTCAAGGGCACATGGTCATGGGCCACGAAGAGCGTAAGAACAAAGCGAAATTGGAGAAGACGCAAATACAGCTTGCATCGAGCAGTAGCGAGTACGAAGCTGCTATAAAAATTCTTGAAGAAACTACTACACGCTGGAATAAGGAGTGGAAAGCAGCTTGTGATGTACGTGCGACAGACAACTTACATTGGTTCTTGATGCATGAATACTGATGCGCCGTTCCAGAAATTCCAAGATCTCGAGGAAGAGAGACTCGACTTCACAAAGAGTAGTCTATGGACGTACGCGAATATTGCATCAACTGTCTGCGTCAGTGACGATGCGGTACGTTTTATCGACACAACTACCCGGCTTCCGCTAACAATCACTAGTCCTGCGAGAAAATCCGACTTTCCCTGGAAGACTGCGAGGTCGAGAAGGACATAATCTTTTTCATCAAAGAGAAAGGAACCGGGCAGGACATTCCTGACCCTCCCAAGTTTATCAACTTTTGCCGGGGCGATATCAACGATACGAGCTCGGAAGTATCTGAAGAAGAAGGGTACTCGGTAGCCCAGTTTCAACGGACGATAAACCCAGCATATCGTACTTCATCACCGCAGCCTTCTTCATACGAGCCCCAGATTGACCCCGATGCCGAAATCGCAGCCAAGATAAACGGCCCGTCCACTCCTTCAAGCAGGGAAGCTACAGGCACTCCACAAAAAGCACCACAGCAGCCGATGCAGCAGCCTGTACAGAAACATGTGCAGCAGCCTATGCAGCAACCGCCACAGCAGCCAATCCAGCAGCCGGTGCATCAGCCAGTGCAGCAGCCCATGCAGCCGCCAATGCAGCCACCCGTGCAGCAATCTATGCCACAGCCAATGCCTCAGCAAATGCCGCAACAAATGCAACAGCCGATGCAACAACCCGCTCCCTTAGATTTAAGGCGTGGTGGTCAGCTTCCACCAAATTATGACCCCAACCAGCATGGCGAAATTGCAAAGGTGCCACACAACGCTTATCCAACCGATGGCATGACCATGTTTTGCAGGACAGGTCCGCCGTCAGAGCGAAGCTCAGGATCCAATAGCGCCTACCGACCATCCAGTCGCGATTCTCAAAGCGAAGTCTCGAATCCTACATCGATGTCGAGTCAGGAGCCACCAAGTGCCAGACAATCTCCCACAAAACCTACGAATGGTGTCGCCCTTCCAGGTCTAGGAGCAGACAAACAGGTACAAAAGAAGAGGAGCGCATTTTTCAGTAACAGTCCATTCCGACGCAAGAGTCGTCATGACAAAGACCGCCAGTCTGGCCCATCCCAACCACCTTCTCGCGGCACTTGGGAGTCACCGTCAAAGCCCACCAGTCCTGTTAAAGCTCCTCAACCCCAGCAGCCTATCTCTGTTCCTGACCCCGATCGGGTATCTGGAAGCCCCGAGCCCGTGGATCCGAGGGCAAACTTCCAACTCAATGTTGGAAACAATGTATTCGATGTGGGCTCCCCTGACAAAGATAAGAAGGGATCCCAAGCGAAAGCCGCCAAAGGTGGTGAAGAGGAGCTGGATCCGATTGCCCGGGCTCTTGCAGATCTGAAAGTGGCAGGGAAACAATCAACCACTCGTGTATCTGCTGACAGGTACCACGGCATTGCAACTCCAGTGCCACCAGTAGCTGCTAACCCCGGCGCTGTGAGCACACCTCCCCCAGCTTACAACGATTCATCCCTGAAACGCTTGGACGCTCCGCAACCCGCATTCACGTCAGCGCAGATGCAGAAAACAACTCAAAGATACACTGGCCAGGCCCAGAATATGCTTCGTGGCTCGAGCAAACCTCCTTCATTGACAAGCCGACACGGCGCACAGTCCCAGGAGGCCACAAGGGCTCGGTCACCAGCTCCAAGGCGGAGTGCGAGCCCTCATGTCAGCCCTCGGGTTGACACCCGCATGGGGCAATACAGTAGAGCGGCCAGCCCTAGTCCGACTTACCATTCGAGCAGCAGCATGAGAAGCCGGTATAACCAATCACCGACCGTCCCATCTCCTTCCCAGCGTCCCGTGGATGCATCTCCAACTGCAGAATATGCCCGAAGAGGATCTTCGCGGGCCGTGTCACCTCAGCCACAATACCGGCAGTCTCCCACCATGGCACCGCGGGGCGTATCCCCGCAGCCTCAGTACAGACAGGCTCAGAACACGATGCCCCGTGCCGTCTCGCCACAGCCGCAATTTAGACAACAGACCCGGCCTTCCAGCGCCGGGGGCATGGAGCTTCAGCTTTCCGGACAACCCGACATGTATGCTGGCAGTCGTGACGGGTACGGCTCCCGACGCGGCAGTGGTAGACCCATGTCATACTACGACGACGCCGCGAGCGTGAGGAGCCGGTCCAGGAGCAGAACAGTGGCCGTTGCCGATCCCAGCAGACAATTCAGCCGCGACGGTCGACCCATCCTTCACTTCGGTAAGTACCCCTTCCTCCTCTCCTATCCAGCAGCAATAACTAATCTTCCTTCAGCACGAGCCATGTACAGCTACACTGCCGCCATTCCCGAAGAGTTAGGCTTCAGCAAAGGCGACGTCTTATCGGTGATCCGCCTCCAAGACGACGGCTGGTGGGAAGCCGAAATCACTACTGCACGGAGCCGAACCGGATTGGTCCCGAGCAACTACCTCCAAATCATCTAAAGACGAAAAACAAACGACAAATACGATCAATGCCTATCTCATGAACCAACCCAATCATTCATTCATCACTCATCTATGACCCAACCATGTCCTACTTAATCACGTGTTCATGATCATGATACCAAATTGTGCTCATTTGTCTTTTCTTTGCCACATCTTCTAATCTTTGGGTCTAGTAGTATCTATTCCTCTCTTCCATGGCACATTCTTTATGCGGTTTCCCCTAGTCTCTTGCATGTCAAAATTGGTTTTTGTTTCCTTGGACTTCCCCATGTGTTGACCTTCAAATTCGCGTGCTGATTTTCCGATACCTGTGTGCTTGGTTTCTCGAATGTCTTTCTTTGAAGATACGGACTAGTTTTTCTTTTTGTTTTAGCTGTGTTGAGATACTTTGAGATACTTGAATAATAACTTGGCGTACGGGCGCTGTATTGTTTGCGTATACGTACTACGGTCTACTACTAGATGATTCTCCATAGTCTAACCTCGTTGAGTATGCATGTAATAGCTCCGAGATAAGAATATCACCATTAAAACTAAGTACTTGACCCACAGTCGTAGGCTTGGCTCAAAGAGCTTACAGAGAAACCACCAAGGCAGAGCAGAGCAGAATGCAACCCAATATCATGAAGTGAACGCTCAATTGGAGGGCAAATCTGGTGACACCTCGCTAGCCCATAGAAAGGAACAACCAGGGTCTAAAACCTGCAAAATGTCTAGGAAATGCTCAATGACCAATTCCAACTGGAGCGAAAAGAGCACATGTTGTACAAAACCAAAGAGAAAGAAACTGAGCTCTAGGGGACCACGGAACACATGCCAGCGCGAGATATACTAAGAGACGAGAAGAGGGAGAAGGTATGGCCGCAAGGCAAGCAGTAGCCGGTCGAATTAGACGCTGACGTTGTCTATGGCGGAGGGCAATTGTCGTAGGGAAGTCGAAGCTCGTTGATCCCGTTGTCAGATTAGTCGGCACGGCCGCATCCCTCTACCATACATTTAAAACCTCCTGGACTTGCGAGAGAACGTATCCTGCCGTCTGTGCAGTACGGTTGCGTAGAGGCGTGGAAGCCGATTTGGGAGATTTTATCCCAGATGCTTTTGGGTGTAAGACTTTTGAGACCGGGCTGGAATGGTTCGCCGTTCCAATGTGAATCAGCTGCGGCTTTCGCGATGTGGCAGGCGAGGAGTACGTGGTCGTTGACATGCCCGCAGCTGTTGGAAACACGCTGGATGTGGCACATTTTTACAGTCTTGACAAGAGCTGGTGCGTACTAATGCGTAGTCAAGTTGTAAGTAGACGTCTAATCGATTTATTGACCGTAGGCCCACGCGAATCAATTATTTGGTTGAAAGGAGGAGTTTCGTGCTTTCTTGATCGAATACTGGCTGAATATCTGAAGCCATGCAAATGAGTCTGGTGTCCTTGGCTAAACATCTCATTGACTCATTTGCAGAATGATGAGTGGAGAGCTATGGCATCGTTGCCAGGCGCAGGAGCAAAATTTCTATATGCAAGGACATGGTGAATTGGGGCACACGCCGAGCCATTGTGTTGACATGTATTCCACGAAAAGCTGTGAATCAAGGCTTTCAGCATCACTACAAAATGAATGACTTGTTAAGCCTTCACAGTCATGCAAGCAACGACGGAATCTGATGAAGCGCAATATGGAGCAGCAGGAAAATGTGATAAAGAGATATTACAATTCGAGTGAAGACGGCAAGATGGGAAGTGACAGAAATACATAGCAGAACATCATGCGCAGCAGGCCAGCAGGAAACAAATTATAAAAACATAGAGGTTCCGCAGTATGTTCAAGTGACACTGTACAATGGAGGGCTCACCAGTCCTTGATCAGGAGGATTATCCGGGCAAGGTGGCTTAAGAAGCATCAGGCGAGCACCCTCGGGACACAAATCATGTGAAGAGCGAAATCATGCCGTTATTATAGCGAGTTCATTCATCGTCAACAAAGGAATTGGCAAGACGGCCAAAGATTGGAACTTCGAAATGTTCGAGTGTATCAACTAAAGTATGGTCAGCTTGTGTTATCGTTGCGCAATCGTGAAGACATACCATCTCGATAAGCCCGCATGCTGAGAAAGCCGATCATTGCAAGATCGCAGATAAACAGGAGCCATGAGAAGAAGCTTGACCAGGAGAATATCAGGTGGAGTATCTGAATAACATTAGAAGTGCCATTGGTT